AGAGATGATCCCCAAGGAAAGAGAAGGCAGCAAAGGTTAGGTAAGCACAACTAACCACAGAACAAAACACGGGAGACAGATAAAGGGTAAATTACTACTGACAGATGTAAGAAAATGGATGTGAGCCATGTAAGAATCTGCAAGACTAACATCAAGGCTATTTAATGACATGAAAAATGCTGATCACAGACTGGCAAGTAAAAAGGAAAACAGCAGTATGACTACAAAGGGAGTAACAAAAATAAAGTCCACACCCAGCAAAGATGAGAAGGAAATACACAAAACACTGGCAATGGGTTTGAATGGTGGACTGTGGGCAACTTCTTATTCTACTTTCCCCATTTTCTTTAGTGAACATGAGTTGTTTGTACGACATCCAATGAAGAAAAGGTTACAGTCCAGAGTAAATAGCCTTATCAAAAAGACTGTTGGCTTTTTAAAAAATTTTTGCACAAGCAATACTGCTTTGGGAAGATGATGTAAGAAAAAGGGCAGAACTGTTGGTGTAATTTGCTATTGTATTTACTGGCAGCAGAATAGCTATTAAAAGTAAGGACTAAAACCAAGATAGAGGAGGACAGCATAAGATTTAGTTTTAACAGATTTAAATCTCCTAGAGAATTACATCCCAACATATTGACTCAAAACACTCAGATGTGATTTCAGAATTATACAGTAATCTCTAAATTAGGCAGGTAATCTCTAAAAAGTGGCAGAAGAGTGAACTACCTTAAAGTCTTGAGAAGGACTAATCCTGTACTGATTTTCATAAAAGAGGAAAAGAGAAATTCCCAAACCAGTTTGAAAAGATTAGTGTCATTCTCAGAAACTTAAAAAAAAAAAAACTGCTTATCAGACAAAATCGATGACCCTGAAGAAACCATAAAAAATGATGAGTTTGCTTTGAAGCAAGCCACACTGACCTCTCTTCTTTTTTTTTTTGACAGGACTACCAGGCCAATAAATTCAAATACCATAGGTAGTGTTCTACCTCAAGCTCATTAAGGCATGTAATCTAGCTCTACATGACAATGCAAAGAAATGTGGGCCTGGTAACAGAATAAGACTTAGAATTCATAGATCGGTTTCATGGCATGACACAGGACTATCCTGTTCAACATTTAGCAACAATGGGACAAAGACGCAGAAGCCATGCACACCGAAGTGAGGCGCCCAGCTACAAGCTGAAACATAAAGATGAAAATTAACTCAACAGGCTGAAACAGAGACTTGAAATCAATGTGCTGTAATTTAATGGGGATAAATTAAAACGTAATTTCTTATAAGTGCCTCAAGTACAAGATGAGAAAGACTGTTTCGATGTTTCGATGGGTGCATTTCCTGGAAGAAAGACTTAGGTACTTTGTTGACTAGAAGATGAATACAACACTATGAAATGACCAGGATAGAGGCTCTGGTAATAATCCTACCATACTCTCCACAAATCCAACCATATCTGAAATCTATGCTTCATCTAATGGACATCTAGAAACTGGAAAGAATCTAGAGGAGGGAGACCAGGAAGTCAGGTCACATTAAAAAAAACTAGGTAACAGGCTTCTCGTTTCCTCACCTAAAGGGTTATTATTATGTGAATAAGGAAAGGACTTTATTTTGTTCTAAGAGTCACACAGTAACTAACTGACAGAAATTACTAGACAACAGTTTCTCTCCACATGAGGAAATCCCCAAAACAAGACTGCCTGCCTCATGAACAGCTGTACTATCACTGGGAAATGTTCAGGCACAGGCCTAAAGACCATTGGGAACTTTGCCAAAAGGCCTGCAGCACTGGGCAGAAGGTTAGTCTAGATAACCTCTAAGGTCCCTCCCAACCCTAAGAGCTTTGATCTTGGGGATAAGGAGGCTAAAGCTGTTTACATTGAGTCCCTCAAGAGTATCAAGTCCCTCTTGATGCAGAATGGTCTAGTGCAGCGTGTGCCCCACACCCTGGCCCTGAGTGCTGGCAGGGATGTTAGGGACACAGGCTTCAGTAGGACCAGTCTTCGGATCCCAGCCTTGCTACTGACCCTTGGGCAGGTTTCTCAACCTCTCACTACCGTATTTCCTCATCAGTAAAACAGAAATGATAAATAATTTCCCCTCATAGTGTTGTTGAAAGCAGAAGTTAACCATACAGCAGAGTGATTGGCACACAGTAAGCATTTATAAAATGGTATCTTTTGTTATTGCTTATATTAATAATAGTAAGAAATAACTTGACACCTGGGGTCAAGATGCTTGCTCCAATGTCCCCATTCTCCCAAGAGGCTGGGCCACTTAGATGACTGCTTGGAAGATGAAGAACACCAGACAACGAGATGACTAACATTTATTGGGCACTTACTGAGTGCCAGACACCTCTCTAAGAACTGTAACATTTTGTTAAAGCCTCCCAGCAACCCTCTAAGAACTACTGTTATCTTTACAGATTAGGAAACGCAGGTTACTGGAGGCTAAATAACTCGCCCTAGAAGGTGACAGGCCAGGATTTGAATACAGGATGTCAGGCTTCAGAATCCATGCTCTTCACCCTGACACCAGTGGCTTTAACCATACATAACGACTCCTAGGGAGATATAAAAATAATAACTATATCCGGGACCTGTCCAAACCTCCCCCATTCTAATTTAAATTGATCTGGTATAGGCAGCAGGGTTCTCCAGAGTTCGGGAGAAAGATATCATTTGATAAATGTTTACTATGTGCCAGTCACTCTGCTATGTGGTTCACTTATACTTTCAACAACACTATGAGGGGAAATTATTTATCATTTCTGTGTTACTGATGAGGAAATAAGGCAGTGGGAGGTTGAGAAACCTGCCCAAGGTCCCAGAGCTGAGGTCAGTAGCAAGGCTGGGATCTGAAGACTGGTCCTACTGAAGCCTGTGTCCCTAACATCCCTGCCAGCACTCAGAGACATACCACACTGTCTCCTGGATGAGAGATAAATAGAAGCAGCACCTTGCACCAGCTGACATCTCAGGCAGATCTATTGCTTTTTAGGAATATGTTTAGAACCATCAGATAAGGATTGCTTTGCCAAAAAACAATTTTTTTAAATCCAAAAGCAACCCTATTCAGGTAGGTTATCATATTCCCACTTTACCGAAAAGGAGACTGACACCTAAAAAGGTTCAATAACTGCCCCATTCAAAAAGGAACTGAGACTTATTCCAGGAGGGCTTAGCACCCTAAAGAGCTCCAACAGAGGTGGGAGAGAAATCTGAGCAGGTGAAGAGGGATGGGTAATGGAGGAAGTAACACCTGAACTAGACTAAGCATGGAACAAAGGAGGGCAAATCAGCAAAGGGAAAGGCAGGAACAAGATCAGAGGCAAGATTTCAAAAGAAATGCTCACAGGACTAGAAGTCAACAGGTGTGGTGACACTACAGTACTCTCAAGGTGGAGCTGTAAGAGAGGCCTCAGAGGCCTACCTAGCCCACACTGTATAGGTGCGCGAATGCGAAGCTACACGGTTGTCCTTGGTGTTCACAGGACTTTTCCTGAAACAGAAATCCGCTCAAGCAGATGCCTAGAAATCCAGCCTAGAAACATTAATACTTAAATGTTAATACATTATTCTAGTTTTATTTTATTTTTGTGTTTTGTTAGGTATTTTGCTTCCAAGAACTTATTTTGAGTTACCATACATAGTAATCTGTCCCAGTCTTCTGAAGCAATTTATAAATAAAAGGGAGAATTATTACTTCTTTAGTGAAATCAGAGCCGTACTCATTACTTCTAATATAAATCCATGAATGCAAAAGGTCTCCCTCTGTTGTATTTGCAAATTTGGGTATTTGTGACAGGCTTATTTGGCAGCCAAGGTCACATTTCTAATTTGAACTCATGATGCAGCAAAGAGTAAAGCAGCACCCAGAGTTGAACTCTTCATCCAAGTTACTCTGTTCACTGGGATGAACTCAGGAGTTTTGGGTCTATGGTATCACATCACACATTATAAGGCATCAGAGCAAAGCAGTTAAGAAGAAGGCTTCAAAGTCAGATAAATCTAGATTCAAATCCTGAGTCCACTTTTACTAGCTGTATAACCCTGGGCATTTATCAAACTTCTTTGAGCCTTTCCTTCTTGGTAAAATTGGGATGAAAACATATTCCTCATAGGACCGTTGTGAGAAATAACAAATATGAAATGTGCAGATTAACACAGTGCTTGGTAAGAGAGCCAGTTCCCAACAAACAGTAGCTATTCTCTCATTCATCCAACATGTTTTTATCAACCAAGCAAGCCTAGAGAAACTCACACAGCAAAGCAGAGACCTTTAACATGCATTCAAAGGGCTGCCAAATAAGCCTGTCACAAATACCCAAATTTGCAAATACAACAGAGGGAGACCTTTTGCATTCATGGATTTATATTAGAAGTAATGAGTACGGCTCTGATTTCACTAAAAAAGTAATAATTCTCCCTTTTATTTATAAATTGCTTCAGAAGACTGGGACAGATTACTATGTATGGTAACTCAAAATAAGTTCTTGGAAGCAAAATACCTAACAAAACACAAAAATAAAATAAAACTAGAATAATGTATTAACATTTAAGTATTAATGGTTTTTCCACACCAATCCCAATATTGCTCTGACTCCCCTAAAAAAAGTCTTACTGTGATACATTTCCACTACATTCAAAAGAAAGAGAAGTTAACACTTCTCTGATAAAAGCAGAAAATGAGTAAGCATCTGCAGAAGCATGGGTTTTAATCCCAGCTCTGCCACTAACTGGGTGACTTTCTCTGGGCCTTTTCAGACAAGATAATCTCTCTCTTTTTTTTTTCCAGCTCTAACATCTGAGATATAGCTAATAGCAGCTCAACTTCAAACAGGTCATCTAAGAAATGAGCCTCACAATTCTCTTCCTCTAGGACTGTGTGGATAAGGACTGGACGTGCAAGGCAAGGCCAAATGCACAAGACTGTGGCAGAGCAAAGTTATTCCCTGGGGTAACATGGAAAAACTCCCCCAAAGCACGCCGTACCTTTCTTCATCATGTCTCGGTCCAAGGCTACGTTTCTTTGGGCAAGATTTACTTCTGATCGAAAATGGAAACGCTTGGCTCGCTGTTCCTTCTTTTCAATTGCTTCCTAGGAGGTCCAGAAAAAGCCAAAGAAGTTAACCATGGAGGAGGAAAGTTAAATCATCACACGACATGATACATCAGTGACAACCCTAAAATAGAGAGAAATAAGCAGCACTGTGCCTTCCCTGATTTTTGCAGAGAACGGGATATTGAGTCAGTGACTGGGAGGGCACACACTAACTCTGCCATTATCTGTAATAATTCCATGATGATTCAATGCTTATCACTGTAGCTGGGGCATAGCAGGAATTCAAGGAATATGTGTCAATTTGATGGGTAATAATAACATATAATGTTTTATTTATTTACAACTAAACAATCCTAACATCCCACTTGATATACAGAACTGAAGCATACCAAAGCTAAAATATGTGCTGGAGACACTTTAGCTATAACAGGGATAATCTTCTGATCTCAGTGTTATTTCTAGAAGCCCCACCACCACCCGCATTTCACAGCGTCTGTGTACATGGTAATCACACCTATAACGTTATGCCTGCCTGAGCAGTCCACTCCCTAAAGCATTTTCCCCGTGTAAAAATAACACTGAAGCAAAGAGACGCTCTCCTCTATTCTAGGTTTGTGTCCATGGAATTGCCAATTTTCATCTTTAAGTGACAAGAGGCATTGATGCTTCACTGAAAAACAAAATAATCAGCTTCCTGTGTTTTTTTCCCAAGAGCTAAAATAAATCCAGGTCCAACTGTGGGTTCTTGAACGCTCTCAGGAACCACCCACTAATTGTATATTGACTTTGTCACACTAATTGAGGGTCTGACTATAGAAAGCTTGTGGAGATTGGTAAAGCAGCAAACGCTTCTGTTATTTCTCAATAGTTAGGCTAATTTTTTTCACTGACATCTTCCCAGTGCAAACAACTTATCTACCTACCTTTGGTAACAACTTATGTAACAATTCTGGGGCTACCACCCTTTCTCCCATATATTTATTTCATATAATGCAAACTACAGGATTAAGAACACTAGAGTTTACTCAGTCATTTACAACAAGAGGACATCTTCATTTTGTTCTCTTTTCTTATCTGTCTTTAAGGTGATTGGTTCTTTCTGTTGGCCTTTAAGTAATCTGAGATAGATGGAGACCCAAATTAAATGTAAAAAGGTAAGCACGACATATTTATTTATTTATTGGTTTCATACAACCAGTATAGCAACAGAGTACTATTATTCAGAATTGTAATTAAAAATTCTGATCCAGACTTAACTGCACACATTAAAATCAGAATGTCCAGGGTTGGATATCACCAATTAGAGCAGCAAATATGTACTGACTGTTTATAATAAGGAAAATAATAGGTTTGACTCTGAGAAGTTAAAATGAAGCAGATAATGTAGTAATAAATACCTAGATAAAAGGCAATACTCCTTAGTACAGAGAATAATTCAGATGACTTGGCCTTCAAAGTTTAGACAGCCACAATTAGCAAATCCTATTTTCCTAAGCCTGCAACCAGTGAGGAATAAAGACATTTACTAAAGGCTTACTATGTGCCAGGCGCTTTTCACATTTTGTTCTGTTGAGAGCAGAAACAGTATACACATTTTAAAGAGTGGACATAGCAGTACAAAACATTCCCAGCACAGAACTTCTTGCAAATGGTTAAGCACGGGTATCTAGGTATACAGTGATTTCATCTTTCCATGGATATCAGAACACACTAATTCTACTCGATGTTTTCAGGATGCATGAAAGCATTGCTGTGTAATACAAAATTTAATTTTATAGAAAATGTTTTAATCCAGCAACAAAAGAGAAAAGGAGGTAAAGAATAACTGGTGTTCTACAAGTCCTGGAGACAAAGTTCATTAAGTTCACCCACTTAGCAAAATGTATAAATGAATCATGGTCTGTCTTACCTTGGAGGTGACATCAATTCCAGTGATGAAGCTGCCAGCCTTGTTTTCATATCTTCTGCTTGTGTCCTAGCATGAGGGGTAAGGGTGAGACATGCTGACAGCAACTGAGGAAGACCTCACGATAAAAGATAGTCCAACAACTGATGCCGCTGGACAGTCATTCTTTTCAGCAATCCTTCCCCCACCTGACAACCCCTAATGATAAAGAAGCCTGTCTCAGTAGCTCTGTAATAGCAATTAGCCACTCTAATGAGAAGTCTTTTCTAGATCAGGGCCAATCCAAAACCTTAAGTAAGTTCATCTACTGTAGGTATCCATGTAAAGGAAAACCTAAAAGCTTTTGTGAAAACTGTTTAAGATGAGGTACAGTCACTTATCGCCCCAACCCAGACTGGACAAATTCATCAGGCCAGGCCACCAGCTAGAGTAGAAGGCATCACCAAAATGCACCAGTCCAAGCTCACCTAGATGTCCTGGGGAAAGCACAGCTCAGTGAAATGAAAAAGGATGGGATTTGGAAGCTGAGGACTCAAGTCACAGTTCTGAGTTTTGCTGATTACATGACGCTGGACAATTTCTTTGGCCTCTCTGGATCTAGGATGCCTCTGTGGTATCTGCCTGCCTTCCTGACCTCTTTCACTGCTCTCCTACTTGAGCTACAGGACTGCTTCTCCAACAAAACAATCTTGTTCCCATCTCCAAGCCTTTGTGCTTACTGTTGCCGTGATGGGGACACTCTTTCCCAAATCTGCACATGATTGGCTCCTTTTTGTTCCTTAGGGTTCAGCTTAAATGTCACGATCTCACAGGACTTCCTTGACCATTCTATCCCACTCTGCTTCCCACTCTGCAAACCCTCCCTGCCTTCTGCACTCTCTATCCCACTAACATGTTTTATTTCCTTCAACACTTATGCCTATAGGAAATTATTTCTTGGCTTGTGCCCCCAACTGAAACAAACTCCAGGAGGGAGTTTGAGCTTCATCAAGCACCTAGGAGTGTACCTGGCACATAGCGGAGGATGCAAGAAATTCATGCTGAACTGAATGAATAAAGGGAGGGTAGTATCTACTTTACAATTACAGTGATGTTTAAATGACAGAAGGTAGTAAATGGCTCAATGCCACTATGTTAATTGTTACCAGTCATTACCAAATGCTATCGTTAGTGATCCTACTTTCACCTTAATTTCACCTACCTTCATCTTCATTACAGTTTAAAAGCAAGACTTGCTGACATGTGGGAAAAAGACTTGCTGACCGTGAGGTGAGAAATTCAGTACATGAGAGGAACCATGCAGGCCCCAGACCTGCCCTAAGAACCGGACAGGGAACCACCACACTTTAAACAGAACACCTCTCTCCATCCCCAGTGTGATAAAAGACGGGCCACTGCCGGTTGGCCGATAGTTTGGTTTCATTAAGCAGCAGATGCTGGAGCTACAGTGTACGTGTTACACAGCAGTGGAACTGCACGGGGACAAAATGACCCTCAAGTCACAACAGAAACACAGTTTCTGCTGCTGACAAGTCCACCCCTCCCAGGTGAAACCTTGAGTGCTGTGTTTAACAAGGCACCAGCTCCACCGGAGCCGGACGCACAGGGAGACTGTGCTTTCTGGGCTGCTGCTGGGTCTGGTCCGGCCAGGGGCTCCCCCTGTACTCAGGACCCCAGACAATCCCAGCCCCTCCTCACTCACCCCCTTGCAGAGAATGACTCGCAGTGGCACCGAAGGGGGTGTCCCCAACTACACCCCAGCTCTCCCCCACCTCCTCCAGCGCCCCCAACACCCATTTCCGGGCCCCAGGCGTCCTTTCTCTAGCTCCGCGTCTCTCCCGCAGCCTGGCGCCCCCGGCCCCCGGGCGCTCGCCCCCCTCCCTCCCCTTCGTCTGACTTCCCCAGCCGAGCACCGGCCGCCTCCCCTTCCGGCGCGCTAGGGCGCGGGACACTCTCGGCGACCTCCTTCTCGCCCCCCGCCCCCCGCCCTACCGGTATCAGTTCCTTCAGCGAGCGCCGCACCGGCACGACCTCCAGCTCGCCCTCCTCCACCTCCATGGGCTCCGGCTCGCCACGCTCCAAACCGGACTCTGCCTCAGGCGACGGGAGCCCCAGCGCCGGCCCCGCTGGGGCCTCCGCTTTCAGCGACACTCGCAGGCCCCGTACGGCCGCCATCGCCTCCCGCCGGCCGCACCACTGAGCGCCCGCTCCGCACACCCGCGGACTAGAGCGCCACCACCACTGGCCACAGAGCAGCCACCGCCGTTGCCTAGAGCGCCGCCTGCTTCGGCTGGAAGGCCGCCTGCGGCGCTGCCGCTCCCTGGTGGCTGGAGGAACTGGGACGGCTGGAGCAGGACAGGGTGGGGAGGTGGAACCCAGTGGGGATGTGGGCGGGACCTGGTGGAGGGGGCGGGGCCTGGAGGATGGGTGCAATATGGGCTTAGAAAATAGCTATGCCTTGAGCAGCAAACCTGTAATAAAAGCTAACTTTACTGAGCTATCATCACGTGCCAGCGACGTTCAAAGTGCTAGAATCCTTACAACAGCCCGATAAAGTTCACACCATTATTATTCCCATTTCACATGTGAGGAAACTGAGGCATATAAATGCACCCAATGCGACAAGCTACTTACGAGATGAAACCTGGATCTAAGCCTAGGCCATCTGATTCCAGAGCCCAGTATGAGCCTTGGCCTATCATCCCTGGGCAGTCCATGGGTTTACAATGTACTTGCCTTGCCAACTTTTGTGTCTTTCAAGTCTCCCAATAATTGCCCCATTTTACATACACAAAAGTTAAGACTCCAAGGGTAATGAGCTACCCAAAGGCCAGAGCTTGAACCCCAATTCCCTGACTCCCGAGGGCTGGATTCGCTGTAGAACTCTGAACATGGTTTCTTGCAGACATTTCTAAAAGCCTGGCTGGGAGACAGGGTTCTAGGCTTCTAGAGGGTACCACTGGTCAGTTTTGGCTTTGAGTCCTGATTTTGTACCTTCCTCCCTGTGTTACCTTGGCCTAGTTCTGGCCCCTTTCTGGGCTGTCTTCCCATCTGAGGAGGGTGTAAGTGGGATCCTAGGTTCTCCAAGGCCCTACCAGATCTAACCATGGAGAAACAAATAATTATCAACCATGGGAGAGCATGACCAGCATCAGACACACCTGAGTTTCAAGCTGGCTGGCTCTACCCCTTTTCACTATGTATGACCTTGGGCAAGCTACTTAACCCTTCTCAGTTCCTTCATCCATAAAATGGGACAATATTACCCACCCCCATAGGAGGTTGTGAGGGTAAAATGAGATCATTATACATAAATAAAGAATCCAACAGGATTACAGTATGTCATAGTTTGTCTTAAATGTGGGCTAAATCACAGTACAAACACAAGATGGAATTCTTCAGGAAGTTAGCTTTGCTTGTTGACAGGGACACATAGTGGACCCTTTGTCACAACTGGTTTGAATGCATGGAATGCATTGATGTGAATTTTAAGAACATTTCAAAGAAAGTTTGTGCCCAGGGGCCAGCTCTGAGTGACCATCACAGGCCCACCATTGCACTTGTTTTCTATGTTTGTAGGGGTGGGGGGTGGGGGGTGGGGAGAGGAGGAAGCAAGACCTCCTCAGCTGTGGACATCAGCAGTCCAGCAGACAAGGCTGGGCAGGCCCCTCTCCCTGCAGGGTAGGAGTCTTGTTGCGTGAGATTCAGGCATGGCAGTTCAGCACAGTTCAGAGAACAACCCTCCTGGCAGGGAGGGGTGCACTAGCTGACAGGAGAATTAGGAATCCACAGCAAGCCAGGGCATCAGGCAAACACCAAGTTTCCTAGACTCCTTTCAGAAAAGCCCTTTGTGCCTGAGCCTTTTTGATCACCTAACACCCTCTTGCATCCTCAGTGAAGCGGGATGATGTGGAGCCACAGAATTAGGAGTGGTAAAGGATAATTTCCAAAGAAGTTTAACTTGGCTCTCAAATATAAAATGAACACATGTCAAAGCTTTTATGCATTCATTAATGAACGAGGACATCAGTAAGGTATTAAGAATAGTTCAAAAGAGAATTTGAGGATGAATAGAGTTGGTCAAAGGAATACTGAAATGAATGTAACAGGACAGGTAATGCCCTACAAACAAGAAACTGTAACCTTAGGGGCTCCCTTTTCTTCCAGACAGAAAACATCCACATTGCTATTGGACAAGAATTGTTTACTAATTATGAATTTCCTATAAATTAGCCTCTCCCCTTACAGAGTTGTGAAATACCCTAATCAATGGTAAATCAGAAGACAAATGTGACATCCCTAGAGAATCAGATGATTCTTTAGTAGATTAGTCATGTTGGATAACACCTGACATTACACTGAGAGAACATTAGTTTAGCTCTTTCTCCTGTTCCTTTTTTTCTATTTCTGAAGTCTGGATAAATTTTTTATTAACAGAAGAAACCAGGAGAGTGAGACATTGGATCAGACTGGAGGGTTTCACAAAGGAAATGATCAAGTGTCAAATGCAGCCCCAAGTTCACACAGGAGCTTGGCTTGGGTCTACAGATTTGTTGACCATTGATGACCTTGAGGAAACCAATGTCCTTGAAGGGCAGGTTGATTAGTGGTGGAATTTGAAGATGTGTGAATACCTTTTTGAGACCCATGTGAAGATTGAAGCTAGGAGACAAGGGAGCATATTAACAGGGTCTTCTAAAAGACTCCTCTTTTTTCCCCCCTTCTTTAAATGAAATTGGTCACTCCCTCTCCTTTCCCTCATACTCTCCCATCCAAGGAGGAAGGGAATAAAAATAACAGAAACCCACCTCTCCTGGGGTAACAAAGGGAAAGGTCAATAAAAGGTAATTTAAGTTGCTAAAGTGAAATCAAATGCTACTTGAGGACTGATAACAGAGACAACAGGGTAAAGGTGAAGCCCTATTGGTTCAAGCAGCGATGCTCTTTATGCAGTTTTAAATTGGGTACTTGCAACCTCATGCCCCACACCCCCAGTTCATGCCTATCCTTGAGACATGTGCAGATCATAGTTAAGAAAAAGTTCCCTCATGAGGAAGTGACCTTTGTGGGAGAGTTGTATCTCTGCCCCCCACCCTCTAAACAGCTAAATTCTTGAAAAGACTGTCTTCTCTCATTTTCTCCATCTGACTCAATCACTGAGCATCATGGACACTGATGGCCACTCCTTAATTCTTGAAACCACACACACCTTTCCTTTATAATGCCACGCTTGGATTTCCTCTCACCTCCCAAACTGCTCCTGCTCCAGTGCCTTCTTGGGTTTTATCTCCGCCCACATGTTAACGGTCTGGTTCCTCCACTCCCCTCCCTCCTCTGCACTACAGCCAGAGGGATATTTTTGGTGCATACTATCCAGCCTGGTCCTCCTCTCCAGGCTCACCTTACACTATTCTGCTCCTAACTCCCAACATCACCACTTCACTTCAGTCCTTGGAAAGCACTAGGCTCCTTCCTACCACAGGACCCTTGCACAGGCTGGTCTCTCTCCCTCTTGGCCTAGCTAGTTTGTCCTCAACTTCAGAGCTCAGTTGGAGCCTCCCTCCCTCTGGGAAGTCTCCCAACTACTCTTAGAGAGGAAAGAGTCTTTCCTATAGAGTGCCTTCATGTCAGTTCAAATTCATCCATGTCCATGCATGGCAACTTGATTAATGTCTGTCTCCTATGATGGACTGTGAGACCCGTAAGAGCAGTAATGGTGTTGATTTGCCTTAGTGCCCAACTCAGTGCCTGATTATAGAAGGCCCCAGACAAATATTGAAAGGATGGCTGGGCAGATGGACATCTCAAAAGGGAAATGAGACTTATGCCCACATTAGATTTAGAAACATGGGTACCAGATCTACCAGTCCCCCTTTACCAAATTCTAGTTCAGGGCTATTTATGTCAAACCTCACTGTTTATTAAAATCACCTAGGTCAAGATACATACTTGTAAACAGTAGATAAGTAAGTCCAGGAGATCTAATATACGTTACAGTGATTATAGACAACAAAATTGTATTTAAATAGAACAAAAAGGTATCCTACAGTATGGGAGAATATATTCATAAATGACAGATCTGATAAAGGGTTGACATCAAAATATATAAAGAGCTCACACACCTCAACAAACAAAAAGCAAATAATCCAATTAAAAAATGGGCAGAGGAGCCGAATAGACAGTTCTCTAAAGAAGAAATTCAGATGGCCAACAGACACATGAAAAGATGCTCCACATCGCTTGTCATCAGAGAAATGCAAATTAAAACCACAATGAGATATCACCTCACACCAATAAGGATGGCTACCATCCAAAAGACAAACAACAACAAATGTTGGTGAGGTTGTGGAGAAAGGGGAACCCTCCTACATTGCTGGTGGGAATGTAAATTAGTTCAACCATTGTGGAAAGCAGTATGGAGGTTCCTCAAAATGCTCAAAATAGAAATACCATTTGACCCAGAAATTCCACTTCTAGGAATTTACCCTAAGAATGCAGCAGCCCAGTTTGAAAAAGACAGATGCACCCCTATGTTTATCGCAGCACTATTTACAATAGCCAAGAAATGGAAACAACCTAAATGTCCATCAGTAAATGAATGGATAAAGAAGATGTGGTACATATACACAATGGAATATTATTCAGCCATAAGAAGAAAACAAATCCTACCATTTGCAACAACATGGACAGAGCTAGAGGGTATTATGCTCAGTGAAATAAGCCAGGCAGAGAAAGACAAGTACCAAATGATTTCACTCATATGTAGAGTATAAGAACAAAGAAAAACTGAAGGAACAAAACAGCAGCAGAACCCAAGAATGGACTAATAGTTACCAAAGGGAAAGGGACTGGGGATGATGGGTGGGAAGGGAGGGGTAAGGGCCGGGAAAAAGAAAGGGGGCATTAAGATAGCATGTATAGTATTGTGGGGGGGTACGGGAGGGCTGTACAACACAGAGAAGACAGGTGGTGATTATACAGCATCTTGCTACGCTGATGGACAGTGACTGTAGTGGGTGTGTTGGGGGGACTTGGTGAGGGGGGTAGCCTGGTAAACATAGTGTTCTTCATGTAATTGTAGATTAATGACAGCAAAAATAAAAAATTATATTTAAAGCTTTAAACTTGCTAGAAAGACAAATCTTAATTGTCCTCACCACTACAAGAAATACAAT